TGAATGAGCCTGAAAACAGAAGAATACACTGTTTTGATCCCCAGCACAGGGCAGGGAGGGAGGGAGGGAAAAGAAAGAAGAAACTGTAATATGGTTCATTGTGTAGGGTTTTGTTTTGTTTGAATTTTGGAGACAAGGTCTCACTATGTAGTGCAGGCTGGCCTTGAACTCACTTTGCAGCCTAGCCTGGCTTTGAACTCACAGTGATCCTCCTGCCGCCACCTCCCAGGTGCTGGGTTTACAGGTGTGCACCCCTGCACCCAGCTTCATGATGGGTGCTTTGAGTGATGACTAGGAAGCCAGTGATTGGTGGAAGTGCTGACATTTGTCACCCTGCCCGCCAAGATATGCCTAGAACCTGCTTCTTTTTACACACTATCTTTGGTGGGACCCATGGTACAGGGAGGAAGGGGGCTTCCTTTAAGTGCTCCTCTCCATATTGTCTGGATTTTAAATGAGTATGTTACTTTTGATATTAAAAAAGATCATTTTTTAATGGGTGTGGTGGCACACACTTATAATCCCAGCTACTCAGGAGGCTGAGGCAGGAGGATCACAAGTTTGAGGGTGGCCTGGACAAGTTAGTGGGACACTGTCTCAAAAAAGAAGAGGAAGCTGGGTGTGTAGCTCAGTTGGTAGAGTGCTTGCCTAGCATGTGTGAGGCCTGGGGGTCGGTCCCCAGTACTGTCAGGAAGAGAGACGGACAGACTGACGAAGCAGGAAAGGTCACTGTGGGACGGAATGACCAGGGAGGACTGTGGGAGAACAGGCCAGGTCGGGCCTGAAGCAAGCAGCATCCCAGTGGGACTGGGGACTGGGAATGGCCTCCGCCCCAGCAGGGCGGCGCTGGCCAGCACTGGTGCTCCAGAGGCTGTCGGTTTGCTGTTCTTCATCACTGACAGTGCGTACTTCTCTCCCTGCCTTCTCACCCCTAGGTGTTGCTATTAGATTTGGCAAGTTTTCTTCCAAGGAAAATAAGCAGATAGAGGAAAACGTGCAAGAATTCCTATCTCTGACAGGAATTGAGACCGCGGACAAGCTGCTGTACACAGACAGATACCCAGAGGAAAAGGCTGCCATCACAGATTTGAAACGGAAGCATGCATTCAGGCTGCACATTGGTGAGTTTAGGAGCGCTCTCTCTGCCATCCCTGCCTCCAATCCTAGCCAGGTCACCTGTGGGGAGGAGGAAGAGGTGTTGCGCACCATGCCCGGCCCGGCCTGGCCCGGCCCATCCCAAGTGTGTGGCGAAGCCCCATGTGCTGGTCGTGTTCTCATTGTCAGTCCGTACCCTGGGGTTTGGGATGTGTCCGTGTGTCCTTACAGGTCTCGTGAGAAAGCAAATGATCACCTTCTGTCTTTCCCACTTGGTGATAATTAGGGTTCGGGTTTCTCGTGCCATATTACTTTTTTTTTCTTTGGTACCCGGGATGGAACTCGGGTCCTTGCGCTTGTGCAGCAGGCGGCAGAACCACTGAGCTAAATCCCTGGCCCTGTATTACTTATTTTATGTGGGTGCTGCATACAGCACCCCCTTCCACGCAACCCCGCGTGTGTCTGAAGTGGGGCCGGAGGCGTGGGGTTGGCGGGACCCCAGCTCTGGGTGTCCCTGGGAAAGTCAGAAGGTGATGGAGGATCCCAGTGAAAAAATCCTGTCCTGAATTTGAAGAGGCTGATTGTGCAGGCTCACAAAGGATGCGGTACGGCGAGCCCTGTGGATGGATCCTTTCGGCTATAGCGTGGGAAAGTGAGGAAAGCTTAGTTTGGAACGTTTTGTTCATTTTATGGAGGACTGTTGGCGTGTGTCCCCCACCTTAGTGTTCCCTTTCCCTTCATTCAAGTGCTGCTACAAGTATTCCAGCTTCGAAAGGTGTTTTCCAAGATTTGAGCAGAGCAAGGCTGGAGCCCCCAGGTCCTAAGTGTCCAGTTTGCAGAGGTCCCCAAGGCAGCCGGCCTCTGCAGGATGCACAACGCCTGATCTGCAGCGTTGTTGCCGGGGCCATGGTGGGTCCCTTCTGTGGTTGTTAGGGCGCTCAGGGCCTCTCTGACTCGCTCCCTTCTGACCCTAGGGAAGGGCATTGCACGGCCCTGGAAACTCGTGTACTACCGCGCCAAGAAGATATTCGATGTCAACAATTACAAAGGGAGGTAAGGCAGTCTTCCTCCTGGGCATGGGGCTTTCCTCAGCGTTTGCTGACATTTTAAATCAGAATACTCATAGCTGGGCCGGAGATTTAGCTCAGTGGTTTCGCTGCCTGCTGTACAAGCACAAGGACTCAAGTTCGATCCCTGGTACCAAAAAAAAAAAAAAAAAGAATACTCACAGCTCTAGAAGAGAAGTAAAGCTCAAGCCTTCCACATGTGAAACTGGGTTGCGGATGAGGTGTACGTCTTCAGGGCCAGTTCCACCCCTCTAATAAGCCTGTGTGACCTAAATCTCAGATTGTTCTCACCTGCGTGCCTGTCTCACTGCTACTCATTTGCTCTGCTGCATTTCGAGCTCCTGCTGCCCAGGGACCTTGCCACAATGCTAGCCATGTGCAGCTCTTCTGGCTTTCAGCAGATATTTGAAGGTAGAAACCAAAAACCAGTGTTAGATCACGTTAGTGCAATTCAGTAGCATCAGTCCAGAGTGCCTAATACGATTCTTAGTCTCTCCTGTCTTTTGCCCAAATAAAATTCCCAGTTAAAATTTGTGTCCAACATCCTAAATTTAAAACAAACCCCATAGATTATGTCAGGTCATCATTCCACCTGAGAATAAGGAAGAAAGCAGGAAGGAAATTGCCATCCCTGTGTCCAGGGACTCAAAAAACAACTGTTGTCTCCACTCCTGATTTCACGCTGGGGGGCAGCTGACTATCAGATAATTGTGAATAGAACTTTAAGAAAATTCACTGAAGATAGCATTTTAAATGGGATTTACAGAATTAAGAGTGGCTGCCGGGTGTGGTGGCACCTGCCTGTAATCCCACCTCTCAGGAGGCTGAGAGGCAGGAGGCTCACCGTGAGTTCGAAGCCAGCCTGAACTACATAGTGAGACCTTGTTGCAAAAAACAACAACAAAAGAACAATAAAAACAACAACAAACAACAGTGACAGCCACAGTAACATTTTTCTATCTGCATTTTCTGCCTAAGTCCAGGAATGGACTTTGTGAAATAATAAAATTCTAACGTTCTAATAATTGAAAGCGTTTAGTCTTTTATGCCAAATTATTTGTGTCAAGGGGATCATTTGCCCTTAGAGTCTTTTTCCAGCTGAAGAATTCTTCACCGAAAAAAATATAGGAAGTCAAAAACCAAAGAATTTCTAAGGCTCTGGGAGCTGTAGAAGGTCAGAACACCTCTTTCTCCTGTACAATTTCTTTTTTCTTTTAAGGCAGACTAGTGATTGAACCCAGGATCTTCACACTGAGGTACATCCCCAGTCCTTTCTAAAATTTTTAAATTTTGAGACAGGTCTCAGTTGCTAAGTTTCCCAGGCTGGGCTCAAATTTATAGTCCTCCTGTCTCCATCTCCCAGAGCGCTGGATTACAAGCATGTGCCACCATGCCCAGCAATTAATATCTCTTTTACTTCCTCTTCTCAGTTGCTTCACAGTCTTTATGTTCTATGAGGCTTTTCTTTCTCTGTTTTTGAATCTCAGTCAGATCCTTAAGAATAATACTACTTGAAAGTGTTAACCTTTTATTTATTCCCATGATTCTTAATAGTGAAAAAAAATAATCTGTGTGTACAGATCCGTTTCAGGACACACAAGAACGTCATGTCTGGCTGAATTTCCTCTGCCATTGCCTTAGTAATATAGAAACCACCAGTCTCTCCTCTCCTGCCCACTTCCCCAGCCTGCATTAAGGCCTAGGAATCTTAGGGTGTTACAAGACTGCTTTTTCTCCACTTAAATAGTAAAGGTGCTTAATCTCCTATTCCATTTTTAACATTATAGTGCCTTTCTGGTACTTGTCTCTTTGTTTTTATGTGGGATTAATGCATATTTACTCCTTAAACAGTGACATATTTATGGTGGGCTATTGTGTTGTATGTGTATGGAGTGTCTGTCATCTGTCAGGGTTATGGATACGACAGAGCACAAAACTCAGGACCAGTGTGAACAGGAGAAGCACAACATTGTCTAGGAGGGAACGGAGGCCCTGAAGCTCGGGCTGGGCCACCCTCTTGGAGGGGCGCCATGGCTGTCACCATCCAGGTGGGGTGGGACAGAGGCCGTGAGGGCAGATCAGGCTGACAGATCGCTTGAGATCCACCGATAGCTCTGACTGGAACTGCAGTGATGGGTGGGTGGGTGGGTAGATGGATCAACCACCGTGGATGGAGCTCAGAGATAGCAGGGACCAGAGCGCTGGTCACTGTGAGGACTGGAACCGGGTTCCCGACACCGCATTCAGCCTTTCCCCCGACGGCAGTACTGTGGTGAGAACACTGGGTTAATCTCACTGTCCTTCTTGTAGGTACAGCAAAGGGGACACTGAGAAGCTGAAGGCATGCCAGTCCCTCCATGGGAATGACTGGAAAAAGATCGGGGCGATGGTGGCCCGGAGCAGCCTCTCTGTCGCCCTCAAGTTCTCCCAGATCCGTAACAGTAAGTGGCCCATCTGTCATGTGGTACGCCCAATAGGCTTGGGTCCGAGATCACCGCGGCCTGCCCTCCGAGAGGGCCACTGTTTCTTAAGCCAGCCTCTCCGCTAGTTCATTTCACTTCCTCCTGCAGTCAGTAAAACTCACTAGGCTGGTTTTGACCACAGCTCAGTTCAGTAACTTTCAGCATGAGTGTAACTGCCACGTGGCTGTCCAGTCCCCAGGAAGCTGGCGGAGGAGGTCACTTCGTCACAGTGGCCAGAGAACCTTTGGAGGGAGGCCTGCAGCCGTGTGGTCTGCTAGACACGATGTGGGCAGCCACCTGTCTTTTTTCTCCTTTTTTTTTTTTTTTTTTTTGTTACAGGGGATGGAACTGAGGACTTTGCGCTTACAAGGCAGGTGGCAGCACCACTGAGCTAAATCCCTGGCTCTCCTCTTTTATAAAAAGTTTCTTTGGTTCTATCTTTCCATCAAAATACACAAAACTGCTGTAATAAGACAGCCCCCAGTCAGGGTCATGGTCTGCACAGCTCCCTGCATGCTCCGGCCACATGGGCAATGTGGTACAGCATTCCTTCCTGTTTCTAAGGAGCAAACCAACACTCTGGAATTTAAAACAAAATTTCTGGTATCTTTTTTCTTTCCCCCTTCCTGGGCGTCTCTCGGTTTTTTAGCATTCATCCACTTTGTCACTGAGCGAAGGAAGTGCTCCCCTGGACAACCACATGCCTGTGCTCTCGGGTCTGTTCCACCTTGGCCTCCCTGCTGCTGCCCTGCTTTGGCTGCTCCTGTGGCTCAGCGTTCTCAAGGACTTTCGTGTCGCCCTGGATAGATGTCACTGTGGCTGATGTTTGGATCCCAGGAGCCCTTGGGAGGCAGACATGCACATAAAACAGAAGCCACTGGGTTATCTTTTCTATGACGTTTGGGAGCCTCACAGTGTCACACCAGAGACATGTTGCATTCTCTCCAAAACAGGAAGGACAACTTTTTTAAGTTAAAAAAAAAATTAAGAAAGGGCTTTTATTCCATTCTGGGGACGGAACCCAGGGCCTCACACATGGGAGATAAGCGCTCGCTCTGGCCTGCCCCAGGACTTCTTAGCAGTGTCTCACTTTGGTTCTTAAAAAGACCCTGTGGCCACTTTAGTAATTTCATGTTAATTTGTGTGTAATTACATTGTTTCATTTTACATTTCCATAACTGAGAAGTTTCCCACTATCTTCTGAGAAGTATCCAATTTATCATTTTGTTTTTAATCTTGTATTTAAAAGCAAATAGATCAGCAACTACAGAGTCATCCTTTTATATCTACAGAAAGAAATCATGGTGTTTGGAGCAAGGCAGAAACCCAGAAACTCATCAAGGCTGTCGAAGAAGTGATTCTAAAGAAAATGTCTCCACAGAAGTTAAGTGAAATGGATTCTGAACTCCAGGAAAACCCTGAGAGTCGCCTGTCGATCGTTCGGGAAAAGCTCTACAAGGGCATATCGTGGGTGGAAGTGGAAGCGAAGGTGGAGACGAGAAATTGGATGCAGTGCAAAAGTAAGTGGTAAGTTTTAAAGCTTCTTACATAAATTCACCGTCATACTTTGTGTCTTCCGCTCTCGTTTAGAGTGGGTGGAGTGGTGAGATTGCTACACTGAAGTGTCAGAGATCATCTCTGGCCTCTTAATCCAGCTGCTTCTGTATCAGCATCTGATTTAAATGAGCACATACCTTACTCTGACCCGGAGATAGGTGTGGGCCACAGGTATGCAGCGTCATCCCTGCTAGAGTGTATGGCTTCCTCTTAAAGAACTTGAACCTTTTAAATTCTGAAATGGGCTTCTGATTTCTTGACTCCACCTCTAGGTCTTTAGTAGAATAAAGTGTTTATCTATTTGCCCCATTTGAAAAAACATGATGTGAAACTAACATTCAGAAGAGAAGGCCTGAGCTCAGTGATTGGTGTAGCTCTGCCTTTTTATTTTGCTTTCCGGTTTGTAGTTTCCTGTCTCCATCTGCAGCAAGGCAGTATCTGGCGTACAGAGGAACTTGGAGGCCCCATGTGCATAGCTCTGTCACTCCCACTGAAGTAGGTCCAGTCCTGGTCTGGCTGCATAGCTCTTGCCTGCTACAGCTTTCCAAGCCGGGAGGGTTGCTGCTGGGATGTCCCTCTCGGCCCAGCTCTGAAGCAGCAGCTCTGCACATTTTCACCCCACAAAGCATAAAGGGACTTGGTGACCCCTGAGTATCAAATCAGGATGAAACCCAGAAGAGGCCTATTTTAAAACTACACTCCTAGATTATACTTCTTATATGTCTCTCAGTTCTATTTAGGGTATTTGGGCTTTTTATGTTTTTGTAGTCATTTTTTGGTTTTTGTTTTGTTTTTTCAGGGACTCAACTCAAAGGCTTCACACAGCTAGGCAAGTGCTCTACCACTGAGCCACATCCCCAGGCCAAGGCTGGTTACTGACCGTGCCCAGGAAAGCACAATCCAAAAAGCAGATACCGCTTAGAGTGGGGTGCACCAAGCAGAGCGCTTTCCAACTCCAGGGGTTAGGCTGAGAAGGGATATGGGAGCGAAGTGCTGCTCGTGATTAAAAGGGAGAAGTGAGTAAGGGCGATACTGCTTCCAAAGCACTATAATTAAGGTGACATGCAGGACATGTCTTTCCATTTGAAGAGAAAAACAGGAAACTGAGTCCTGAACATATATTTACCTTGTGTGATATTGAAGTGACCTCAGGTGACTCATGTCCAACCCACACACGTAAATGGCGGTAAGCACACGATTATTGCGCATGTGTCTCAAGCGTGTGACTGGAACATCAAATGGTCTGTCGATCTAATTATGACAGCTTTTTGCTCTCCAGGCTGACACAAGAGAATCACAAATTCAAAGGCAGCCTGGGCAGCTTAACAAAATCCTGTCTCAAGATAAAGTTAAAGGGCCAGGGATTTAGCTCAGTGGCTTTGCCGCCTGCTGCACAAGCTCAAGGACTCGAGTTCGATCCCTAGTACCAAAAAAAAAAAAGATAAAGTTAAAAAGGGCTGGGGTTGTCGCTCAGCAATAGAGCACTTGCCTAGCATGGACAAGGCCCTGTGTTCCATACCTAGTATCATTTTAAAAAGGCTGGGCATGGTGGCGCACGCCTGTGATCCCAGCACTCTGGGAGGCTGAGGCAGGAGAATTGAAAGCTGGAGCCCAGCCTGGGCCATTTGGCAAGACCTTGTCTCAAAATAAAAAGCTTTTGAAAAGGGCAGGGTATGTAGCTCAGTGTGAAAGCCCTGGGTTCAAACTCCACTTCTGGAAAAAAAAGAAAAACCAGTTCTGTTGCAGCTGGGCAGTGTTCACTAGGAAGTTCAAGCAGCTCTTTCCCTCAGCCATCAGTTTAGGCAGTAGAGGGCTCATTGGGTCCTTTACCACGTTACCAAATTTATTCTCCTTGGTATTCCGAAAGCTAGTAGTGGGGATAAGAGCCACGTCCATCTGTCTTCATAAGTAACATACACATAGAATTCACATCCATCATCCAGTTTCTTTTTTGTTGTTGTTTTAATTTGTTTTTTGAGGCAGGGTCTCGCTATGTAGCCCAGGCTGACCTCAAACTCAAAGTGATCCTCTTGCCTCAGCCTCCCAAGTGCTAGGATTACTGGCGTGTGCCATGCCTGGCCATCCACTCTCAATAATCACTATCTTTGTGTTGTTTTATTGATTCCTTCTCACTTTTTTTTTCAAATACTATGTTCTTCATACTGGTAAATGAGTTGGGTTGGAAAAGTGAGAAATTGTTTCTGAACGAAGGCAGTTTAGATGAGAAAAATATGGAAAATTTTAACAAACATTACCCCTAAAAGTAAAGTATCTTTTTCTTTTATCGTAGGACAGAAATTCTAACCAAGAGGATGACTAACGGTGGCTTTGTATACCGTGGAATCAATGCTCTGCAGGCCAAAATCAACCTCATTGAAAGGTACAGGAGTAGAAAGCGATGCTGGCTCTCTGGCCCGAGAGTAGCTGCTCACAGCAGAGACCACGGTGCTGTCCCCTGGGTAAAATCTGTCCCAGCACCCTCTGCACCTGCCGCCGCTGATGCATGACCCTTTTGAGTCCCCGCAGACTCGTCTGAAATGCGGGTGATGATGACGAGAATTTAGCTCCCTCCTGGCGTCCCTGGAGGAGAAGTGAATTAATGCATGCACAGCATTACTGTATACTCAGTCGGTGGTTATTTATGCCTTTGAAGCTCTCCCTGTGGGCACGTTACTTCCTATTTCCGTGCATCAGGAAATGGAGGTAGATCATTTGGACCAAGCCCCACCTCTCATCAGCACCAGTTTGTCAGCGTCGTGGTGCTGGGGCTTTGGTTCTGTCCCCGAGTTCCTCCCGGAAGGTTCGTTCCAAGGGAGGAGGAGGGACAGGCCTGATGGCCGAGCCCCAAGAGTTTAGTGCACTCGGGTCACTCATACTGCCGGGCAGCAGTGCAGGGCAGAGACACTTTGGGCCCGGGCCATCCTGTGCAGCTTCCTGCTCGTTCCCTGTGTGCAGCTGGCCGGGTGCCTGCTGGTTATACATCCTCCCAGTCCTCCCTGGTGCAGAGACTGCACAGGCTGGCAGATCCGGGGAGGGCGTCACCTGGCGACAAGTGTCAGGAGATGGTGAGCCAGTGCCCAGGTCTGTCCCCCATTCCCTTTCTGTAGAACAGAGCTAATCCCTGACCTCGTCAGACCATGCTGAGGGTTACTGTAATTCTTAACAGTGTCTGTTGCCTAGTAAGTGCTGGGCCCAGCCGCGCAGTTACTACACGTCTGTGTCACATGCAGGAGTGGCTTTCCACCCATCTCCATAGCTCACTCCGCAGTGACCTTGGCTTGATTTGGGGGAGGCTGGGCATGTGCAGTGCAGGTGTCGGTCCCTCCCAGCGCTTGGCATTCCTGTCGTCTGGGCAGAGGTCCAGCAGGTTGCTTTTTGCTTGAAATTGTTATTTTGTTTTTTCTTACAGGTTGTATGAAATAAATGTGGAAGATGCTAATGAAATAGATTGGGAAGATCTTGCTAGTGCCATAGGGTAAAGCATTTGTTTAATACTAAGGATATGAAACAGTAGAGATGACTTTTAATATATGACCACCTAGCAAATCTTAAAGAGGGGGTGAAATTCATGCTGCTGCTTATCAAGTGTGTATAATGAGAGTTAAAATTCATCATGTTTGCGAGAAAACCAGAGTGATATAACACAGAGTAAAACACCCTGCGGGGTGTGGGGGACCCTGCTCCGCACCCCACCAGCTCCCACCTGAGAAGTACTCCTGTCCTGTCCCACAGCCTGCCCTTGCCAATACCCAACCACTTTTTAAATATTTGTTGTTTCACCTAGGTTTTTGTATACTTTGTGATATTGCTTCAGATCACATGATTTTTTTTTTTTAACACTAAAATGAGTTTTTAATGGCTTTAAGACATTTAAAACTGGAGCTGGGGAGGTAGCTCAGCGGACCCTGGCTTTGATCCCCACAGCACCACCACCAGAGAGAAAAGAAAACAAAAAAAGATATTTGAGTCTGATTATTATAGTTACAATTATGAATTACAAAGCGGTGCCATGGAGGTCATGGTATCTATTCAAGTACAGTTTGAAATACTGTGTGTCCTCAGTTTGATAACAAACTAAATCGGGCTGAGATGTAGCTTAATGTGGTCTCTTCAGCTCCTTAAAGTGGCCTTGGTGGATTACCTAGTCAGGATTGAGACTAGCACCTCCCCCTGATGAGCTGTTCACCTGTGTAGTTGTCAAAGTCTAGCTCAGTTACAAGCATTTCCCAAAACCTGGACCTGGCTCTGCAGAGCGTGGGCTTTGGGTTCGGGCAGAGCAGACACCATCCCTGGACTCCCCCTCGCTGTCTCTGAGCCCTGGTATCCTTGTCTGCGTGTTTAACCAAGGCCATTGCAAGGACTACTGGGGGATAACCAGTGAGACTCTCAGCCTCGTGGTGCTGGCACATAGTATGTGCTCAGTTAGTGGCTGCTCTGATGAGAATCCAGTCCTCTTTTAACTCTGCACACAGTTAACAGGATCATTCTCACTGACTATTTGTACTAGACTGGTTAGCTATGGGGAGGTAAGTCAGGTTTTTATTAAGAAAAAGTATCCAGATAAATTAGTGATTTTTATATTTTAAAAAATTGAAGCTTTGGTTGATCAGCAGGTATAGTGGTGCACACCTGTACTCCCAACACTCAGGAGGCTGAAGCAAGATTGTCACGAGTTCAGAGCCAGCTTGGGCCACAGCATGAGTTCAAGGCCAGCCTGAACTAGCAAGACCCTATCTCAGAAAAAAATTTTTTGCTTGTTTTTGTCACACTTATTGTTAATTTGAAAATGTTCTAAAACATCATAGGCATTTTTTTAGCTTTGCAAACTAAACCTGCGTACATCTGCCTTTGAACTGCACACAGTAGGCGCGTGTTTGCAGGGAGCAGGCTCTGCAGCGCCTCCCCGCGGTAGCTGTCCCAGTTTCCGCATGCGCCTGAGGGTGGTTACCACGACGTGCGCAGGGAGGGCCACGCGAGGGGCAGACAGCAGCCAGTGTTAGCTGGTCTTACGCCTGGTCTCTGACCAATGACTGAGGTCAGTTGGATTTAAGCAGAACTCATCCTATACTACTGATTTTCTTTCTTTTATGGTTTTTGGTTTTTATTTATTTGTTCTGGTGGTGGGGATTAAACCCAAGTCCCCCTGCATAGTAAATGTACACTATTTGCTTGAGCTACATCCCTGCCTCCTCTGTGTGTTTTTACACCACATGAACAGTAGTTTGTCATAGGCATTTTATTTTTATCACATTTATGGCCATGATGGTTTCCTGTCTAGGATAGGGAAACTAAATATTTCTCCAGACCTCACCTAACAAATCTATTTACTGCACAAGTAATGATAAAGGATAAATTGTCATGTAAATGATTACAGAAATGATAGACTTTTTTGGAAATGATAAACTTTTAACTGATACTTTATTTTAATCTTTTCCTTTCTAAAGTGATGTACCTCCATCTTACGTTCAAACTAAATTTTATAAGCTGAAAGCTGCCTGTGTTCCCTTTTGGCAGAAAAAGACTTTCCCAGGTGGGTGTTGTAAATAGTCATATAGTTGAGAACACGGGTCCAGGATCAACTCAGTGCTGGTTATCTCAGTCACATTGGCTGGGACATAACTTCCCGGAATCGGAGTCATTAATCATAAAATGGCACATTACAGTCCCTGCCTGGCAGAACTTTCCTAAGGGCTACATGAGCTCTCACACGTAGCGAGTGTGGTCATCGCAGTGGTGGGCACTCAGTGAGTGCTCAGCAAGTAAGTGTGCTGTGCACGCCCGCCGCCACACACACTTCCAAGGAGAGCGTCAGTGCCCACTTGTTACTTGTTGCCATTTGTGGGTGGTTTGGATGTGTGTAAGTCCTAACCTCAGACCCTCAGAGCCGTGTGGAGAGCTCTTAATAATGCAGAGTCCTGAGTCTCATCCCAAACCGACCAAATCCTAATCCCCAGGCCAAGTCCAGAGTCTGGATTGTTCTCTGACAAGCTCACAGTGCCAGGCATGGCAGTGCACACTAATCTCAGGCTAAGGCAGTGAGTTCAAGGCCGGCCTGAACTACACACCAGACCTTGTCTCAAGACACAAAAAACAAGCCCACAGCGAGTCCCCCGCGGTCTGCCCAACAGCATTGTTCTGAGTGTGATGAAATACTGCTTTGCCTGTGGCAGACAGGACCAACCACCTAGGTGTGTATGCAGGCTAATTCTGTGACCTTGGGCAAGTCTCTGAATGTCTCTCTGCCTCACTTTCCTTGTTTGAAAAATGAGTTAAAAATAGTGCCTGTCTGTAGGATGTGTTTTTGAGGGTTGAATAAGGGAATACAGTGGACCCTCGAGTTACAACCGGCCTGACATACAAACAACTTGGGTTACGACCAGAATTTCAGTTTTAACTTCCAACCAGAGTCTTGTGTTACGACCCAAATGCCGGCCACTTGTGCTTCCAGATGGTCTCAGATACAGATCTAACCCTTAAAAGAGTCTGGAAGGAACATGACAGCATCCTTTCCTGTGTGGGGCTAAGTGGGAAATCCTGGGGTGAGATCTGCCTGAAAGAAAGTGTAGCCTAAAATTGTACAGGAGAGAGACTTTGGAAGGCTGTGTAGAGGGCCCCGAGCCTTCAGTGACCAACTTGAGTTACAGCCAGCCCTCAGGAACGGATTGAGTTCATAAGTCAGGGGTCCATTGTATAAGCAAACCATTAGGGCCTCGCAGGTGGTATCATCAGGATCCTATATCCTTTGACATTGATAAGAGGCTTTGTACAAATAATTTCCAAATTAAATTTCTGTTCTGTAGAGATCATCGATTACCTTTATGAGACTAGTCTGCCATTGCTTAAAGAAAAATTTAAAAAGAAGATGGGGAAAAAGGGCAGCAAAATCCGAACTCCTGCAGCACCCAAGCAAGTTTTCCTGTTCAGAGACATCTTTTATTGTGAAGATGACAGTGAGGGAGAAGACATGGAAGAACAGAGTTAAGCAGAGGTTACTATCTCCAGTCCTTTTGGTTGGGCCATATTTATATACGTGTGTTACTGTGTCTGTCAGCTTACCATCACCATAACAAAATACCTGAGATAATAACATCTTATAAGGAGAAAAGGTTTATATGGGCCCATGGTTTAGGGAGGCTCCTGTCCACTGTGGGTTGGCTCCTTTGCCTTGCCTCTGCCCCAAAGGAGTGTGTGGCCCATCAGGTGGCAGAGAAAAACCGCTCAACTTATGGCCAGGAAAGGAGAGACTGGGGGAGGGGCTGGGGTCCCACAGTCCCTTTCAAGTCCACCCCCTGTGACCCCTGACCTCCCAGTAGGCCCCACCACCCCAGGGACCAGGCCTCTACCACCTGGTTCTTTTCCAAACTGCACTGGTTAATAAAGCTCTTTTGGTAATGATGTTTATTAAAGAATGTTTAGTAGCCAGAGGAAGAGACACAAAATGTTAACTTTTTTTTTCCCGATACTGGGGATTGAATTCAGGACCTTGTGCTTGCGAGGCAGGCTCCGTGCCACTGAGCTCAATCCCCAGCCCTAAAATGTTAACTTGTATTGTGGCACGTTAAAAATGTATTAGCGGGCCAGGGATTTAGCTCAGTGGTTTCGCCACCTGCTGCACAAGCACAAGGACCCGAGTTCCATCCCTGGTACCAAAAAAAAAAAAAAAAGCTTTCATGTTAAAGTGTGAATGTGAAAGTAAAGAGGAGCACAGGGACTGATGAGCGTTTCTGTACATTGTGCCCAGAATAATTACACTAACGGCTCTGTAAAACCCAAGTGTCCCAAGCTCCTCTGACGGCAGCAGCAGGCAGAGTCACATCCTGTGAACACTTCCTGACCTGGGGTCCGCTGTGTGCACTCAGCAAAACTGAGCGCCTTCGCCACTTCTGTAAGCTGGGCCACGCTGCTTGCTGTCCCTACAGAGGCTGAGACCCACGGTCTCGGTGCAGACAGCATGGGATGGACGGACGGGTGGGTCCGCGCTCCCTCCTGCCCACGGCAGGTGCGCCTCACCTTCCTGAGTAGGACCCTAGTGCTCGGGGCTCCGGGCTGGTCGCCCAAGCTGTCCTCAGAGTTTGTCGCTGGCGCTGCCTGCTGCTCCGCTGGAAACCAGGTAAAGGCAGCCGCCCCTCCCCTGCTTGAGCCAACACCGGCTCCATCAGGTTTGGTGAAAGGGGCCGTGTGAGACCGAGCCACAACTGTCCGTGTCAGGCTAACTTGAATGGTGGACTCTGTCACCAAAGCAAAGCCACCAGAGAGATTTCAAACACAGGAAAACGTAGCGTAGGGGTGAAGGCACAAAACTGAAATGGGATGAGGGATCCCGCAGGGGAGGACCGGATCGCCCAGGGCTGGAGAGCTGCAGCGGAGCCCTGCATGGCTGCACCATGCCCCCGTGTGCCTCTCAGCAGCCCCACAAACACCAGCCTGGCTCCCGCCGCTGCCCTCCATACTGTGGTACGGGTCTGCAGCTTGTGTTCCTTCACTGCCACGTGCCAGCGCAGGAGCCTGAGTCTCAGCAGCTTGCGCCACCTCCTGCCTTTCAGTCTCCCAGGACCACGCAAGCGCCAGCTCCGGCCGTGTCCCGCTGCAGGGGACTGTGGGAAATCAAGGTCTCAACCTCCCGGCGGGGCGGGGAGGGGGGTTGTTGGAGAGAGCAGAGAAACGTCCCAGACAGTGACTTCAGCACCGTCATCAGCAAGAGATGTGACTCTACTGCCATCTGTCATTTATGTAGCACTGTTAGGATGTTAGCATGAGCCAGATCTGCCACAGTTGGGAAGGGAGAATACAAAGGCATATAGGAGTATTGTTTACTCTGTCCCCAGCTCCCATCAGTGCTACAGAGACAGCAGACGCTCAAGAGATACTGGCTTCTACTAAGTGTTTCTGCTGCAGAAAGCTCCCTCTGGCCCGAAGACACCCTGGTCTCCATGTAATGGAACTGTAATAATTGTATATTCCCCTTGAAGGATGATTTGTTAAGGTTTATCAGCGCCTGGAGAATGTACATATTGTATGGCCAGTGATTTCTAGAATTTATTATAAAGGAATAATAGACCTAATGTGTAAAATGGCATGTTTACAATACAGAAAAATGTAAGTGTCCTTTCATATAAAATGTTTTATATTGTATATTTCTACAGTGGAATATTATGCAGTTATTAAAAATGATGACGGAGGGCTGGGGATTTAGTTCAGTGGTTCCATCACCTTCCCTGAAAGTTCAAGGACCCCAGTTTGATCCCTGGTACAAAAAGAAACCGTACTTGATTGACATGTGAAGGTTAATCCTGATTGTCAAGCTCATTACGAGATACCTAGAGAGATGGCTGATTTTTGAGGGCTCTAACTTCATCACTCAACACACTGATGCGTTCTTAGCTGATTGGGCTACTAGGAGGTGGGGCAGGTAGGTCACTGGGGGTGCTTTCCTCAGGCTCTTGCTCTGATTCCTGGCTTCCCTGAGATGAGCAGCTTTCTTCTGCCATGGCCATCCATTGTGAGGCTTCTGCCTCCCACAGGCCTAGAGCAGTGGAGCCAGGTGACCCTGGACTGAAACCTCTGAAACCATGAGCCAGGATAAACCTTTCCTCCTCTGAGTTGTCTTTCTTAGGTATTTAGTCATCCTCAGTGAAAAACTTACTAACACAAAAAGATAGTGTTCCAACTGAAATATTTCAGAAGAATATATATTTTCTCAATTTTGTAAAAGAATAAAAGAAATTTATTACTGAAGCATTAAAATGTATGAAACAAACCCAAAATGTCAACAGTGGTTCTTTCTGCGCATTCATAAGCCAGAACTCTTAAGAATTTTGTTGTTTTGGGTGTTTTGTTGTTGTTGTTTTGGGTTGTTTTTTTCCCCTTCAGACAGTCTCACTATGTTGTCCAGGCTGGCCTTGAACACAATATGTAGGCCCAGGCTGGCCTTGAATTTTCAGTGATCTTCCTAAATCAGCCTCCCAAGTACTGAGATTAAAGGCATGTGCCGCTACCCCCAGGACAAGCTAGAACTCTTGATTGCAGCTGCCAGAAAGGTGGATGTCGATGGCCCAGGAATGTGAACTCCCAAAACTAAAAGGCTAAGGATGGTGTCAGTCTCAAATGAGAATGAATCCACTGCCCCGAGTCTCCAAGGATGAGGTCCCTGCTAATTCTCTGCAGGGTCCTGGTGGCCCCATGGCCCCCGCCACATCCTTAGGCAGCCACACTTCTGTGTTTGCCTCCCACCCCATCCAGGAGAGGAAACAGTCCCTCCCACACTCCCCAAGCCCCAGGCACTCCTTCTCATACCCAGCTGCGTGTCCCTGGAGCCAGGACAGGGTTGGCCCCAGCCATCCACTCAGTGCTGGAGGGCAAATTTCCAGTAGAAAATCGGAAAAGGTGCAGAGAAAGTAAGTGGATTCCGAGGAAGCAACCCACAATGTGCATGTGTGACAGTGGGTAATTATTTGAGCTATAAATTCGACCCAATGAATTTATGTGCAGGTACTTTGTAAAAATTACAACTTTTCTCACTTGTCTGCCATGCTACTATCCTTAAGTACACTTCTTCCCAGCACTCAGGAAGCTGAGGCAGGTGGATGTGAGAGGAGACTGCCCCTCCATGTGGAACTGGGCAACTGCTCTGTGGAATGCACCTGAGCAGCCAGGCTGGCTTCTGCAGTCTGTCACCAGGGGAGCCTGACGGACTCAGTCCTGCTAGAACTCTGCTCTCCTCCCACACCCGCTGCTCTGCGTTCCATAAATCCTGCTTGCTATATTTCCAGAGAGACACCAATGCAAGTAAGCCTCGTAGATGTAAAAAGAGGTATATAAAGAACAAACTTTTACTCAGCGCTTGCGAGACAGAGTCGCTCGCTGAGCTGCCAGCATTAAAAGCCGCTTTTTGCTCCTATCTTCTGTCCAGGGTCCTCATCCTCTCCTGCTTCAGATAGACCGCTGCGAGCTCAGGCCAGCCTTGGCTACATAGTTCATTCAGGGCCAGCCTGAGCCGCATTTCGAGGCTATTAGGAAAAAGGAGGAACAAAGATAAGAGCTCAACAGGCAGGAGGTTTATTTAGAGCAAACCTGAGAGGGACAGTGGGTGTGAGAGCAGAGTGGCATCTCATACAGGCTCTGAGGTCTTTTACAGGGTTGGGAGCATGAGGGGCCGGCGGTGAAGGGGAAAGTAGAGGGAGGAGGAGCTGTAGCTACTGCCAGAGATAAGGCTTGAAAAGTGCAGGTTGTGGTGACTCAGGAGCTGGGAGCCGGGAGCTGGGCTGGAGAAGTGATGGGAGTTCAGGGGAAGCCCTGGTCACCCAGCCTGATTAACCTGTGATTAGCAGGTGTGAAAGCCAAAGGGAGGAAGAGGCTTACAGCGGCCTCTGCTCAGCCCAGGATGTGGCGGCCGGACTCCTTCAGAGACCCTGTCTCAAAAAGAAAACCACCGATCTTACCTTTGCCAACCACCCTTTGTATATGTGAGAATCTGGGACTTTGAAAGAAAAGGCAGGCAGGGGAGACTGTGGACGTCAAGGGAAATCCAGCATCTGAAGAGGCTGTGAGGGGAAACGGGTTGAGGATATGTAGAATTCGGGGCTCGGGGAGGGCAGTTGAGCAGGCGCCCAGTCCATGGTACAAAGAGAAGAAAGCCTTGCTGGAGTGAAGGTGAGGGTTGCCCCCATGCCATGGCCAGGCCAAGAGATGAGCAGAGGAGGAGGCTGCAGGTGCCACCGAACTGGGGAGGAAGCAGAAGAAGAGCAGACTTAGGAAGCGAACAAGACAAAAATATCACTCATCTCACAGGAAACAAGACTGGAGCAACAACAAAATTGTTTTTTAACAGCCAGGAAGCTGGGCATGGTGGAGCACGCCTGTAACCCCAGCACTCTCCAAGGCTGAGGCAGGAAGACTGATTGCAAGTTCAAGCCCAGCCGGGGCAATTTAACGACAGAGAGCAACTTCTTCTGTCCAACAGCCTGACAAACTGACCTCCTCCATGCCTAGGTTGAACCCCACCCCTGAGGCCCGCAGCCCAGGCCTTCACAGTTTCTCAGATTTTGGTCCTATGCTGATCACACTCCAAAACTGCCCGTCTTTTATTCTGGATCATCACCACTAGACAAGCTCTAGAATCACTCATTAGCTATCTGTGAATGAAATCAGTTGTTAGGGTTTCTTTCCAGATGACCCCCAAGGCCTCATGCGCTCATAGGCAGGGCTTCTGAGAGGGGATGGGCTCATGCGGGTGTGATGCTCATTAGCAGATTAGTCCACTGATGAGTTCATAGCTAAATGCGCTGTTACTTCTGAGGTAGGGGGCTGGTCGCTGGGGCAGGGCCCGACCGGGTTCATCTCCCACCCTGGCCCCGGCTTCTCCCCTCTCTCTGCTTCCTGCTGCTGCTGCCTTGCCCCAAGCTGCTCTCCTCAGCTGTCTTCCACCGTGGATCTCCCCTCTAGCAACCCGGCTGCCTTGAAGCCAGTGACTGGACCAAACGTGAGCCCAAATAAGCTCACCTTGTGAGTAGGTATCGGGCAGTGTCTGAGTGATGAGGAAAGTGACTAAGACATCAATTACACAAGGGATCAATGCGATGCCTCCCCCGGCATCCAGCCTCTAAATGTCAGTGTTCCTGGCTCAGACTGGCCCTCTGCGCATTCTTCCTGTGCCTAGAAACAGAATCCGTCTGCTCGAGACTTCCAGTGCATGGGTAGAGGTCAG